GGACTGAGCACGAAAGGAAGCCCAGGAATGCTGGGGGGGTGGATCCCAAGGTGTTTCATCCCAACGATAAGGGCAGGGGGGGGGGTTTGAGGAGGGACAAGGCAGCCCCCAGCGCATGCATGCACGCGCGCACACACACACACACACACACACACACACACACACACACACTCATGTGCGGAGGACTTCTTTCTCACCAGCAGAGTTTCTCTCAGCAGGGACAGAGAGTAATGCTGCTCCTTGGACCCCCCTCTCTTCTCGCAGCTGGAACTCGAAGTGATGCGGTCCACACACGCCAGGAAACTGGGCTTCTCGGAAACCTAATCTCGGCCCCAAGGTTAGGCCGATTAGTTCAGTTCAGAGAGGAGACATACGGGGAGCACGTGAGCTTGGCTACTGTACATTCCCTCACGGGGGCAGCCTAGGAAGCGGCAGCCTGCCAACAGGGCATGTGGCCTGAAAGGTGAAGCAGGGTGGCCGGGCGTCCCGCTTCCTAGAGGATGGCCTTCAATTTTGGACTGAGGATGTGTGAAGAATCTGCTCTGGGGATGGAGATCTACGGGGTTCGCTGGGGTTCGCTTCCTATGCTCCCGGACCTCCCGGCAGGCACACGGAATGTTCACACAGCTCTCGCCGGGATCTGCACCCCATGTGGCTGCCGCACCTGCAGCATCCCTCTTCCACACAGGCGCTTGCGACCTTCGTGCTGTGTGTGATGTGGAAGAGGTTGCTGGTTGCATGACGGGAGTGCCACAAATGTTTGCAGGCTTTCCTCTCCGCTTTCTCACAACTGCATTTTGGACAGGCGGCAGAGGAAACCTGTCCTTTTGAAGGTGTCCTATAGGTTGTCCACACTAAGCCAGGATAAAAGGGAGAGGATTGTAAGAAGGGGGAGTTGCAAAGGCCTTGACAATATTCTTGAGCATGACGCACAGGGCACCTGGTCTGACCTCTGCACTAAGTAAGATGTCTTGTTTTCAAAATAGTATCGATCAGTTCTGTATTTTCACCTGCATATACATTTGAAGGTGCAAATGGGTATATTAATTTTTGACCACGCTTTCCCTCTTTTCCCAGCACTCTGTAAGGGGCCACAGATGAGAAAGTGGTGCAGCTTCAAGGGAGTGGGGTGGGGGCTTTCAAGGAGATGCAAGGTCCAGCACCAGCTTCTTAAGAAATGGACCCCATTTGACAGCAATGGCATTGAGATCCCAACTGCCCTACAAGGATATGAGGGGATGAGAAGTATTTGGGGAATGGGAAGTTCAGGGAAACAACCTCCGAGATGGATGTGGCACATCCCTGGAGGGGGGGGGGTGGATATCTCTGTCTATACGAAACCCCATGGAAATAGAGGGAGGGTCTCCATACCTGGCTGTTTCCATGGAGGAATTTGTGCATGAAATTCAGAGCATTGCTTACTTCCACCTCAGAGCTGCTGGAGCTCAAGCTTCCTTGGGAGGACAGTGAGGTTGGGGAATCTAAGACAGAAGATGTCCCAACCTGTTTGTCTCGCTGGTTCCCAGCCATGACGATGGCTTGGCATTACGCCTCGCGCCTGGACTTTGGACTCCCGTCTCGCCTCAGGGGCTGCTGCCCTGGCCCTGGCGCCTTGCCTTGTATCCTGCTGCCCCGCCTCAGCCCCAGGAAGGCCCGGATGGGCCCATGCTGGGGGTCCTCCCCCAGTGGTGCAGCCCCTTGGCTGGTACTCTGGGATGACTTGGGGCAATGGCCGCCCGCTGAGGCTGGGGTGCCAGGGTTGAGGGCACGCTGCAGCTACTCCAGGATGGAAGCTGAACTCCCAGGGAACTATCCGTGGTGCTGAACCTACGCAGTGGGTGGAAAACTGCAGCGCGCAGGTGCCAGCTCATAGACACTGGAGCCATCAACCTCCTGCAGCTCACTCCGCCACAAACCTCACCCCTGGGGGCACCTCGTGAACATTTGGGCCACCGTTTGCAGCAGGACCACTAGTGGCACCCCCTCGTGGTTGAAGGTAAGCCTTGCGAGCTCGGGCAGCACCGGATCGCAGAAGCCATTGGACTTACCTGCGTGCCTGGGCTGAGACGCCAAGCTGGTCGCCTTTTCTAAGTCGGTGCTTCTGTGCCCACTCAACAAGGCGTCCCCACTCGGCAGTCTGTTGTCCATTCTGGCAAAGGCACTGCTGAAGGAAGGTTGGCGTTGGTGCAGGAGGGTGGAATATTCCCGATGCATCTTGCGAAAAAGGACTTACCTGTCTCTCGTGCATTCAGAAGAGGAGGCACGCTGCTCCCAGCAAAGACCAGACCCCTGCTCAGGAGCGTTCCTCCCCTGGGACAGCCAGATGGACATGGACCCCTGGGCTGGGACCCTCCCACCACATCAACACCCATCCACACGGCAGGAGAGTTGGAAGTGGAGGAGGAATTTCCTCTCCAGAAAGATGCCCTTCAGGAGGAAGAGACAGGCGAAAGACCTCCACGGCATGACTGAAAGCACTCCGTTCAGGAGCACAGCATTCCCATTAAAAGGCTGGCTTTGGAGGAAAACTGACACTGGAAAAGCATGTGTCAGACCCTTGATTCTGACCCGCTGGCTTGACTCTGCTGGACTCCCGGTTATTCTCTAGGATTAGCACTGGGATGGAACTCACTGGATTCCATCCCTCAAGAAATTTTGCGGGCTACTTTGAAGACTAGAAAAATAAGTTGGTGAAGTAGGCATTGATGGCAATATTAACTGATATGTAAATAGAAGACCGATTGAAGAATTTAATGCCAAGGTCCCCAATTCTCAAGTGTAGAGGGAGAGAGCCCAACTCTTTCCCTGATTTTCCACCACAGCTTCCACCAGCAGAAGACCTTCACCTGGCAGCCCAGGGGCAGAACCAGTGTCAGAGGTAGACAAGGTTGGGCACCTGTTCAGGAGGCCCCAGACAAGCATCCCCAGGACCAGCTCCTCCTCTTCCTCACCACCCCTGCTGGTCCCTCTGCCTTGCACCCTGGACCAGGCAATGGAGAGGACAAGCTGGTGACCGAGTTGATTGCCAGCTCTCTGCCTGCCCAGCCAGCAAGTGGGAACTGTGATGGGGAAGGTGGGATGGGAGGAGCATGGAGTGAGGGGCTGCAGAGGGCATCTGGCCTTGGGGAACCTAAAACCTGGAACTGGCACTGCACAAGGGCCAAGGGGCAGGAAACCAAGTCTCCTTGCCACAGTTCCAACGAGTATCACTTTCCATACCGTGATACTGCACCAAATCGTTCATGGGATGGCAAGTTTGCTAGTCTGCTGGAACCACGCACTGCAGGACGGCTGGACAAACCAGCCAATCCTACAACCGACTTGCATCTTTCAAGAAGAGACTTCGTGGGGAACATCGCCGTACCTGTCTTACAGGGGAAATTGGAGGAAGCACCTTGCTTCCAGTCTGAGGAGGCAAGTTCTGAGCCGGTTTTCTCCTCAAGGACCCTGTCCCAAAGCTCAACTACTCAACAGGGGAGGGGAGCCGAGTCCAGACGGTCACTGCAGCGAGTGCCCAGCCGAATCGTTCGCCAAGCCAACCGAAGGCGCGCCCTGAGCCCCGCAGTCCAAGTCTAACACAATGACAAGGAAGCATCCCTGGCGGCTGGTGAGGTCACAAAGGGAAGTGGCTTTGTGCGGCAACGGAACCGACGACGAGGGACGGCATCGACCGCCTCCCACCCCCACCCCGTGATCTTGCCCTGAGAGAGCTCCATGGACCCAGAAAAATCCAAACCGATGCCAGTGTAGACAGAAAGGGAGTGTTGCCAATCACAGCACCCCAAAGTAGCTGGCTGGGGGGGACACATAGGAAAAAACCACAGCCATATTGAACTTCCCGTCTCAGAAAGGAGGGGGGATAAGAACAAAATGAACTTTGTGTAACCCACAGATAAACAAGCTGGCCTGACCTCGAATACAGTAATAAATGGACAGTGGAAACTGGTTCTAGCCGCCAAGAAAGTTGCAAATGTGCAGGGAGTAAGAACATGGCAAGCCTGTGTGAATCTCGAGCAGATAAGAAATAGACATGGGAAATGTCTGGTCCTTGGCAGAGGAAAGGACTCTTTCTCCAGCACGGGGGGGGGGGGTGCGTACGTTGATGTATCGATGCATTAGATGTGTGTTAGGTGACCTAATTGCTTGCCTAGGGTATAAAACGCATGTACTGGGGTGCAACTTTGGAGTCACTGCTTTGGGCTGAATGTCCTTTTGTCTGCCTTTATTCTATGGTGCACTAGAATAAAACTGGTTTTGGCTCTAAGTCTTGTCTCAGGCTCCTTTTGACTCGGGTCTGGGGTCCACCCGGGTTTGCCCCGGCTGTTCACTGGCTGAGTTCCGTAACAGGAGTACGGACCATGCCAGCGGGAGTGGAATCACGGCATTTTACAAAAGTCATGACTTCGTTTGAAGGCTCATCAACAGGCAGGATTCCAAGCTGAATGCAGCAAAACTAATAAAAACCTCATATCTTATCTGGTGGACAAGACAGACACAGAAAATACGGGCAAGTACTTGCCACTGAGAATTTAGCGGCAATTCGAACAAAAGTCTTTGCAACCTGGTTCTTGGGCCTACCTAGGCAGAGCGACAGATCCCCGGGTCTTTTAGATTCGCATGCATTCCCGGTCATCCATCCTATTCCAGGGCTGAGAACTGCTGTCAGCCTGAATTCCATTTTGGGAAGGCTTCCAGGGCGTGCATTCCAGTGACGAGCGGGGCCAAAGACCGCAGGAAAAGGCCCCAAACACCGAAAATAGCAGACCGGCCTCTCCCCCCCTGCGGCCACCCTTGGGCACGCCAGACAGGGGCCCTGACCTCACTTCACCTCCTGCGAGGGCCACATCCAAAGACATGATTCCATGCGGGAAAGAACAGACGCGCCAGACTTGCGGGCTGTCCCGGCAGCCAGACCCTCGCCCAAAGCCCCCGGCCGGCTCCACCCGCAATGCTTCCGCGGGCAGAATGCACATCTGACAAGGACTGCGCTCTCTCCAAAATAGAATAGAATATTTATATATTAACGTAACACTTCTCTTTACAAAATAAATTTGACAGCAAGCGACGGGAATAGCACGCAGGAGTGGGCATCGGGGAAACGCAAGCGCACTCGGGACCGCCTGCGTCTGCGGCAGCGGGGCGCCCACGGCCTCGTCCCAGCGGCTCCGGGCATCCCCAGCCTTGTTCTCGTCCGTTCCTTCGTCCTCCACCTTGGAACCAGCTCTTGGTCCGCACGCCTGGAAGAAGACGGTCTCCAGGAGAGCACTAGCCGTGAGCCGCCACCGCTGGCCGGCTGCTGCTGCTTCTGCTTCACAGGGTGATGGGCGGTCATCGCCTGCGGGGACAAACGGCACGGAGGGTGACCGAGCACAAACGGCACGAGCCCCGGAGGGGGTGGGCAGCTGCCCTCCCTTTTCTGGCCACAAAACTGCAGCAGTTGGTGGAAGAAACCAGTTAGCAGTTAAATGCCGCTGCGCATAAAAGGGCTGGCTACTCTCTGAAGTGGAGACACAAATTTGCCGGCTCTTCGACCCCCTGCATGCAATGCCTCTCTTCCACCCTCTTGGCCACCCAGGGCACAGGGCCCGCCGCTGCCTGCAGGGGGCGCCCTTCCTTTCCACACCAAGTCCAGTTGCTCTCTCGGTGTGCGTTTGGCGCTCCTTGGGATTCTTTGGCCTGGTTCACACGCAATGGCCAACCAGCACATGGGCTGAGCGTGGGTTGTCGTTGAACCTTGAGTTGCCCTTATGTGCACACCTTGCGCTGCGGTTGAAGCATAACCAGGAGGAGAACCCATGGTTTGCGAACTCTGGATTTTTCACTGTTACCAACTTGTAATTAAATCATAATGCAGGATTCGCATGTAATAGCAGCGTGAAGTTCAGTGGCAGCCCAGACGCAACCCGTCCTCTCAAGGACAGGCTGGACAGGCACATGGACATGTCATGGGTGGAGCCGGGAGTCAGACGAGATGGCCCAGGAGGCCCCTTCTGACTTGCCCCGTTTTTGTTTCGGGAGGCCGGCAGGTTTGCCATCTCAGAAGGCTAAGACCTAGAGCACCTCTCCAGGGGCCGGGGGGCAGCCTTGCCGCCTCCGATCTCCCGGCCTCTCCGGCGCCAGCTGAGCCGCCCTTTGGCACCAGCGCTTACTTGAGCCGGAAGGCGCTGTAGGGGTCCAGCAGGTGGGAGCTGGCCTGCTCCAGGTTCCAGTCGAACATCTCCAGAACTTTGTGGCACTCCTGTCGCGTCTTGAGTCCCAGGCAGAAGAGCTGCTCCACCTGTGGGGAGAGGAGGGTGGGGGGTGAGCCAGGCAGTGGGGTGACTGGAGGAAGAGGCACCCCGGGATACTTGCCCACTGGGCAGTGCAGACACCTGACAAAAGGTGCTCAGCCACTTGACTGTTATTTATTGGACAAAACCCTTTTTATGCTCCTGTTATTTTCTTGTTTGATTGGTTTTAATTGTGATTGTATTGTGAATTGCTGGATGCTGTGCCATATTTATCTGTGCTTGTTATAAACTGTCCCGAGACGCTAGCAATGGGACGGTATATAAAAGCTTTTAACAAACAAACAAACATCTCTATCGTTTGCTCCTTTTCCTTTTGTGAGGCCCCAGAGCTGCTTGCATGAGCCTCCCCTCCATTTCAGCCCTGTGACAACCCTATGAGGTAGGCCAGGCCAAGAGCCACTCAGGCCAAATGCAGGCTACAATTCCGGCCTCCCAACTCCTCTCCCAGCCTCTAACGCCGGCCTTCACGCCACTGCAGACACAGAACCGGCTCCCAGGGCTGGATCGGCACAACTGCCTGCATGTTTAGGCTCTGCTCTGGACCGGGAGCTTTAAACGGCCTGGTGCAGCACCGACACCACAGTACTGACCGTGGGGCTGTGCCGGCACGTACGCCCGGACTTGCACCGGCCCTTCCCATGTCCCCGAGCAATGGCCACGGGCTCTGCTCGTGTGCCGCCTGGATCTGCGCACTGCCCGGACTTCCGCCCACAGAGCGTGAAGTGGCCTGCCCCGCCTTGTAGCCACGGGAGCCCGGTGGCCTCCCCGCACTCTTCCCTGGGTGGGGGTGGGAAGGTTTGGGAGGAAAGGGCCGCCCGGCGGCTGTTACCTTCAGGTACCGAATGGCTCTCTGCACGTTCCAGCCATGATTCTGCAGGGCTGCCTGGCACTCCTCTGTGGTGACGCCGTGCACCATCTCCTGGACCTGCAGCGGAGAGAGGGGCGGAGGAGTATGGCTGGAACTACTGAGCAACCCCCCTCTGATCGCCGTTTCCAGTGGGGTGAGCCCCTTGCAGGGTCTGGGGAGCGCAAGCTGTCCTCCCGTCTCCGGACTTCTCCAGGCACCGAATTCCCACAGCAGACCAAAAGGAGGCTGCGTGCTTGCATTAATCACATGCACAAATAGCACACTACGTATTTGTGCAAGAGGGACCCTGCAAGTGTTCGCACATTTCCTCTCAGCTTGGCTCGCTTTGCAGGATTGGGCCGAGCACGGGAGGAAGTCCAGTGGACAGCAGAGGGCCAGAACGGGAAAGGGTCTGTCCCGTCCCCGCTACAGCCACAAGCAAGCACGAGCATTCCTTCATGCAGCTCTGACCCCCGCTGACACTGGATTCCAGATTAATTCGAATTAACTCATGCCCTCCCTTTCCCAGTAGCTGAAACCCCAAGTTCAAACCCCCCAGGTGGCTCCTGATTTTAGGATCTTACTCCTCGCTCCCCACCAGTGGCCTCCCCCCTCCCTCACTGGCATCTCACACTCGGACTTCGCTTGCCTGTCTCCAAAGAAAGGTTTGGGCTTCCCGTGGTCTCGAAAGCAAGGAAGCCCCCAAATGGTGGGTGGCTGCAGGGAAGAGACCCCCTGGAGAACCTGAGGCTTTGCACCCGTGTGCCAGCTGGAAATGCTGGGGACCTTCTCTGCGTGATGCCTGCCCCGCATGTGCCACCGGGGGGAGCCACCTATGGTGTTCCGGGCCTCCTGCCACGGTCCCTCACCACTGCTCTGTGGGCTGGGGAGCATGGGATCTGTACGCCAAGGAGGAGAGAGGCAGCATGCCCGTCTTCTCGGAAGGGCCAGCAACGCTCTGCAGCCAGCAAGCCGCACAGGCAGGTTCTCCACGGCAGCACAAGCAACTCTGGAGTGTCTCCCAACCGTCTCTGGGCATCTTCTGTGGCCATCCCGGCCGAGGGGGCTCTGGCAGGCTTCAGCTCCTGACAACAGCCGCTTCCTTTGAGAAGTCGACAGCAATGTGGGCGAATATAATCACCCGGGCTGGGCTCATGTGTTCCGTGGGCACAGGGCTGCTTGCCCCAGACACCCCTGGCTGGCCACAGCGGAGACAGGGAGCTGGGCAAGGCAGGCAACCCTGCGTGGGACCCCACAGGGCTCTTGTTTCTTTGATTGATCGATATGCTGCCTTTTCCTTATGAAGGACTCAGAGCAGCTTACATAATTCTCCCCCCCTTTTCAGTCACAGCCTCACAACAGCCCTGTGAGGTAGGTGGGCTGAGAGTCTGTGACTGGCCCAAAGTCACCCAGTGGGCTCCATGGCTGAGTGGGGACTCGAACCCAGGTCGCCCGAGTCCCAGTCCCACACCCTTAACCACTGCACCCCACCGGCTCTCTTCCGACACACGTATATTCTTCAGTGCCTTGGCCAGTGACTCGCCCCTCCTGATGCCTCAGAGAATCAGAGGAAAGGATGCGGAATAAAACGCGCGTTTTATCCTTGCAGACCCACACGCGCGGTGGGATCCCGGTGTCCCTGACCCTTGGAGGGTCACGCGGCAGAACGTGCGTGTGGGTGCGTGTCGGGGGAGGTTCTCTTGTCACGGGGCCCATGAAACTGTGGTGATTTAGGCGGGTGAGGAGGGTTTCGACCAGGGATGGACAGGGACCGACTGCGGGGATGGGAAACGGCAGGTTCCCCAGGCTCGGCTGCCTGGGTTCCAGCTCGCTGTGTTGCGGCCCGGAGTATGAACTCCTGGAGAACGCGCCCGGCATTTGTGCGGAGCCTGCGTGGAATCGAGGCCCGCGGCCCCCACCGGTGCCCCCCCCCCCCGTGTGCCACGCGCGGCCGCTTCTGTTCCTGCTGCTGCGCCTGACACGGAGGGAGGCTGCTGGTGCTCCGTAAGAGGCCGTGGACTTCTCCGTGGTCCAGCTCACCCTCCAAGACCGGGCCGGACACGAGAGGACGACTGCGGACGCGAGAGGGATGGGCCGCACTGCGCTTCACCCCAGCCCTCGTCCCGCCTGCGCCCGCCGCCCGAGGCCGCCGCTCACCAGTCGTATCTTATCCGAGGGCCGAGGGCCGTCCGAGCCGTCGTAGATGATCTTCTGAAGGCCGCACGTGGCCTTGACGGCGACGTTGCTGTTGTTGGAGAAGTTGGCTTTGCAGTCCGGCGGCTGCTGCACCATCGGCCGCACGGTGGCCGTGGTGACCACCCGGGCCGGCGGTGGACCCTCCTCGGGGCTCTTGGCCTCCTTGAAGAACTTCTCGTACTTGTCCAGGTAGGGCGGCCGCTCCGGGAGCAGGTAGTAGTGCGTGTGGCTGACCTTCCGGCCGTCCTTGACGATGGGCAGGATGCAGGGCCCCCTGGCGTTCTCCTTGCCCTGCGCCTGGATGACCTTGGGGGTGGCGTACTTGGGGTCCAGGGCGAAGCTCTGGGTGGTGGGCATGAGCGGCTTCCCGGGAGAGGTGGACAGGAAGGCGTTCAGGGACAGCGGGGAGCAGAGGTTGGCTCGGGGCTGCGGGGACCCCCCCTGCAGGGCCATGGGGCTGGGGGTCCGCGAGCCGGGCTGGGACAGGGGGTCCCGGGGAGGGATCTGGGGCGGGCGGTCCTCCTCGCCCCCTGAGGCCGGCGACAGCTCCCCAGAGCGCTGGCCGTGCTCGCCCCGCCAGGGGGGCCGCGGCACGAGCGGCACCCGCGGGGGGACCTGGGGCTTGTCCTCCCCCGGGCTGGAAGTGGAGGCCCCCGAGGGGGCGGCCAGGGGCACGTTGAGGTGCTTCATGCACTCCTGCTGCAGCTCCTGGAAGATCTCCGTCGTCTGGGCGGGACTGGCCTGCTTGGCCCCCTTGGGCAGGAGGAAGAGGTTGTCCTCCAGCAGGGGGGCCGCGTGCTCCCCCTCGGGGGAGAGGCCGCTGCCGGTCTCCCCCGCCCCCCAGCCCTTCCGGCCGCCCCGTGGCCTCGCCAGCCCCTCTGCGCTGTTGATGGAGCACACCTCGAAGTCCTCCTCGTCTTGGGCCACGTCGTCGTAGGCGGGCGGGGCGGGCAGGGGGCGCGTGTTCCAGTCCACGACGGGGGTGGGGTGCAGGGGCCGGGGCAGGGCCTGGCTGGGGCTCTGCGGGGGGGTCTTGTCCAGCAGGGAGCAGGCCTCCAAAGCCAGCCGGGCCAGCGACGGCGCAGAGAGCTCCCCCACGGGGGACGGGGTGGTGGGGACGGGCTCGTCGCCGAAGTCTATCAGCGTCACCTCGCTCCCGGGCAAGGCGCCCCCTCTGCTCCGTGGCAGCAGCAGGCGCTCGCCCACCTTGGTGCCCGCGACCAAGGCCGACGGCTTGGCGGGGCGCAGGCCCCTGGACGGTCCCGGCTTCTTCTTCAGGCAGAGGTGCCTGAGACCGGCGGAGAGCGTGGCGTCCGCGTCGCTGACGGGGTCGTAGGAGGGCTCTGCAAGGCAAGGGGAGTGGGCTCAGGTCTGCGCGGAGGAGCTGCCCCGATCCACAGCCCCTGCCCGGTCCCCAGGTGTGCTCAGACCACAGCTCCCCCAGCCCCCCTCCAGCACATGGAAGGATGGGGATCCCTGGTGCCCTTGTGTTTCACCCACGGCTCCTCCCAGTCCCTCGACTTCTGCAAGGAAAGCAAACCTCCCAGTGGGAATGTGAGAGGCAGTAAATAAACGGAGGCAGGGATTTGTACTCTCTATCGGACTCGGTTATGGAGGCAGGCCTGGAACCTCAGAGGGCTTTTGTCGGCACTTGCCTTCCCCTCGAATCAGAAAGCTGGATGGGGTGACCCCTCAGTCCTTAGCGGGGGGGGTGGGCAGTTCGCCTCGGCCCCCCATGGTGCAAACCACAAGACTCTGCAAGGAGAGACGGGCAAGCAGGCACACGACACAAACCCGCATGGTGCAAACAGCTCGAGGCCGCTGGCACAGCCTTCCCCAAGGTGGGCCCTGCGGATGTTCTGCGCCTGGATTCCCATCAGCCCCAGCCAGCAGGACCCTTGGCAAGGGAGGATGGGTGCCGCTGCCCCGAACGTCGCTGAGGCGGGGGGCGGCTGCTGCAGTGGCCTCCGAACACAGAACGGCCCTGTTAGCTCTCCGGGTTCGCGGAGCCCACAGCCAGCAGCGCAAGCAGAGAGCCGCTTCTCTGCCACCCGCCTCGCCATGCAGTTCCTCCACGAGGCCATGTGCTCCACCTCGGCCAGGGCACACGGGTAGTGCATGGAGCGAGGACGGGGCCCAGCTCTCCGGGATCCGCGGCATCCCCTCGTCAAGCCGGGGGCACAGAGAGCGGGGCCTCGCGGGGATGCAGCACCGGTGCCTCCCAACGAGCGTCCCCTGCCGCCCGCCCGGACGTAGTTCCAAGTCCCAGCGCAGCTGGCGGGCGGACGTGGCTGCTCCCTGCCGTGGCCTGCCGCTTCCCCTCGTGTTGGGAAGTATTTGGGAACAACTTGATCTGGAGTAGCCAATTAGGACCCTTCGGCTTTACCAAATCAGCTCCTGGCAAATGGAAACTCCTTGCCTGCATTTTTCATACGCATCAGCACAGCTGCCTGGATTTGGGGGCTGTTCTTGGCGCGTGGTGACGCTCCCTGTTGTGACGAGTGCCTGCACTTCAACACAGACCGGACACTGCGCTGTGTAATGCAGGGATCAGGTGTCAGTGCATCCCACACCAAGCCAGATCTCTGGCAATGGCTGTCCCCGCTTTAGGGGGCTGCGGCCCCCAAGAACTACCCTAGTAGTCCATCTGCCCGGCTTCTTTGAAGTGGGACTCCTCTGGGATCGCCACGGTGACTCCTCTGTGCAAAAAGGGGCCGAGGGCCCGGGTTTTGGAGCATGAAAGTAGCCAAGGGGTTAAAGGAACCGGCTCGCTTCCCACATGGACGCAGCCGCGCACTTTCCCTCACCAAGGAAACAGCGGCACAGAGTGGCCCAAGAGCTCCGCAGACGGCGATGCGCATACTGGCCTACCTGGAAGGACTGTTGTAGGGAGGGAAAAGGCCATTTGTGCAACGTGGATTTGCATGGAGAAAGACACGTGAAATGCAGAAGCAGCCCCTCCGGAGGAAAGAGGAAAGAGGCCGGAGACCGGCCACTCTGCCTGCAGACAGTTTTGGGGGCCAACTCATGCTGGCAACCTGAGCTGAAAGGAATGGGGAGGGGGGGATGGGCAAGACCTCCTTCTCGCCGTCCAGAACCAGTTTCTTCCCATTCCCACCAGTAGGAGAGCAAGCTGGGGAAAGGCGCCCCGGGATTCTGCCACTCCAGGCAAGGGCGCGCCCCTCGGCTGCAGGGTAGAGCCCTTAACCCACGGCTGCAGCTTCGGCAGGCAGCCCCACGGGGAGTGGGTGCCTCGCTCCCCATGCCCTGAAAACCGGAAGGCTCCGCCAGAGGGCAGCAGGGGGCAGGAACAAGAGCACAGGCTCCCGCCGCAAGCAGGGTGCCCGATCCCCAAAGGGGAGGCTTCACCCCCAAGAGGCCGCGTGGAACGTCGATCAAGCAGAGGCTGCAGCAAAGGGGGGGAAGCCGGGCTGCCCCCCCCCGACCTGCTGCCTCCACGGCACTTAGAGGGTCCCAGGCTGGGGGGGCTTCGGCAAACAAGAAAGAGCACGTGGCGGACTCTTGATCTCAGGGAAGGGGGCAGGATGCGGCAGGGAAAGGCCCCCCCGCCGGACTAAGGCAGCTCAGCAGCGAAGGGCACAGCCACTGTTTCGGAGGCCGGTTCTCCGACGGCTGCGCTGGTCTTTCTTGCTTGGCGAGCTCGGCCTCAGGCACCCTCATGCGCTCCCCGAACTCCCCTCGAGGCCAGGCAGGCAGCAGCAGGCACGGGACGGGGGCTCACGGCACACGGTCCCCCACCCACCACCAGGGACCTGTGAAAAGGGGGGCTAAGAGAAAGCAGAGAGGGCAGGCGCTGGGGGCACGGCAGCCCAGGAAGAGCCCCCACTTACTCTTGAGAAGGATCGAGGGCTGAGGTGGCCGGGGCGGCGGCTCCCCTGCAGCAGAGAGAGAAACAGAGACCCCCGAAGGAAGGAAGGACGGAAGGAAGGAAGGAGGAAGGATGGAAGGAGAGAAAGGGGACAGAGCGTTAGTCGGCAGCTCCATGCGTGGGCAGGGGGGCCGAGGGGCGGCTTGTGCCGGGGGCGGGACAGGCGTGTGCGAGCCTCAGGGCCTGGGCGGCGGGAAGGGGGCGGAAGCGGGCACGCACGGCGACTCCCGGCCCCAGGTTCTGCTACGAAGACCTGCAGGACAGGGAACAGCCAAATTCCCAGCGAATCCTCAAACGTCTGGGGCATGCCAGGCCGGGCACGGTGCAAGAGGGGGGCGGGAATGGGGGACACACGAAACCTTTTGGGTGTGCTTTTGGCTGCTGCTCCTGCTTCCCGCATGGCAGCACCGTGAGGCTGTCTAGCCGACCGGTCCCCAGGCGAGAGGCATTTTGAAGGGGTGGGCTGGGGCTGCAGAGCTGGGGCAGGGGCCATAAATAGCCTCCCAAGTGCTGCTTGCCCTGCGGGGCAGAAGATCCAAGGAAGGGCCGAGTCCTTCCTTCCCCTGCAGAGGAAGGCAGGACGCACCCCAACGGAGCCAAGCTCAGGGAACCAGGGTTCAGTTGGGACCCCGAGGGTGTGGAATGGGCTCCCACGAGAGGCGGTTGAGGCCCCATCGGTGCGGGTGTTCAAGGACAGGCTGGATGTCCACATGGTGGGCATGTCATGAGCAGAGTCAGCTGGAGCCGGGGGTCAGACTAGATGGCCCGGGAGGCCCCTCCTGACTCGCTCTGCTTCTGTTTCCTCTGAGCAGCACCAGGCTGGGAGGACCGGCTGCCACAAAAGAGTGCAAACGTGCAACCCTGGATGGCTCGGTTTTGTTTTCTGGAAATGGCACCTTTTGCCGTGAAAATCCGGTGTTCAGAGCGGGACAGGGTTAGGGGTGTGCAGCCTTTGCAAACAGCGGTAGCTCACCGTCGGGCAGGCACTCTGGCATCGCGGCATTTTGCATTTTTTAAAGGCAGGCTTGCACCGCAGCCCTGGTGAAGCCCGCTTCGAAAAAGCACCTGCGGCGAAGGAGCTGGGAGCAGAAGCAGGCACCGCGGGTGGGGAAAGAAAAGCAGACCAGAGCAGAAAGCCCCGGACGCTGCCCCGAAGCCCGGACAAGCCCTGGAAGAACCCCCTGCTTGCTCTCCCGGTGACAACCGTTCCTCCCGACTATTCCCGGAGCACGAGTGCCAGAGGAGAAAGCAGAGGGCGGCTTCCTTGCGTCCTGGCGGCATGGCTGGAGCGTGGCCCTCTGTAACGCAGACACCCGACATACAGCAGCCGGGCAACGATCCGGAGGAGGCGAGGCAGGGCGTGTGTTGCCAGGCAGCTCATCCAGGCTCGGGAGGAGCTGGGTGGGTGGGATGGAGGGGCGCCGGGGGGCGAGGAAGCGGGCCGTGGGGCGCCTTACTTCTGTTCCTTCCGGGGAGCTGCGTGGGCCGTGCGGCATTCCAGTCCATCCCTAGGACGTCCGGGGGGTCCATGGGGTTGCCCAGGTACAGCCTGCAGGAACAGCAGGAACGGGTGTGCACGGGAACGCTTCCGGCAGCCTCTCCAAGCCCCCCCCCCACAAACCCCCAGCCCAGCCGCAGAAACCCTTCCTGCCCCGCCCAGACCAGAGCTGAAGAAGGGACCCCTCGCCCATGCCCACACGGGAAGCCCCCAGAGTGCCCCCGCGGCGGCAGAGGCAGGCTGCCAGATATGCCGGGGGGGCATGCGTGGCCGGGGTCAGTGCTTTTGGCCCCTCCCGCCGATGCTTCTGGAGTGCAAAACCACATGCCCTTTTCCCCCAAGGATGGCGGGCGGCCCACGGGTCCCATGCTGCCTGGCAAGGGGTGCCCCAGCTGGCCCCCAGGTGCGGCGTGTGCCTATGTGCCATCATCCCCAGCCAGCGTGCCATCAGTGTGCATGCCCCATCATCCCCAGCCAGCACACCAGAGGGGCTGGCTGGTGTTGATGGGTGCTGCAGTACCTGCTACTTCTCGGGAGTGCCAGGCTGGGGGAGCCTGGGATACCCTATTTTGGCATGCAGACCCCAACCCTCAGGGCATGGGGCGCCCCACCTTCCGGACCCACAGGTGCGGCTTTGAGCCAGGTGCAAACAGTGGGATCTGCAGTGCGGGCACTGGGGTTCCAAGCTGGCCAGCGCCCTGGGGAGGGGAGGGGAGGGGAGGGGAAGGTGTGGCCCGGCCGACGACACGGGCTCGGGTGCACCTCGCCGGGCACATGGGAACACGCCGGCCTCACATGGCCTGTGCGCGCTGCCGCCCACGCAGGAGCCGAATGACGAAACTCGCGCTCGGTGAGAAGGTTCCGCGAGGGAGGAGTGCCGCACGTGACCAGGAGACGTGCCAAGCGATCACCCGCCTGCGCGGGAGGGGGGTCTGGAGTAGCCCGGCCTCCCCCGGAGGCAGAGGTGCCTCTATGCGGCGGGAGGGGGCCAGTCCCGGCACAAACCCTCCTGAACCCCAGCACCCAGTTGAAACAGCTTGCGCACGGCCGACCGGTGCCCCAGACGCAAACGCCCAGCAGTGGTGGCAGCGCAGGAAAGGGGGGGGGCAGATCTGGCTGTGCTTGAAATGCGCACGCCACCTGGAGTGCTCCAGAGGCTCGCAACCTGTGGGACCCAGGAGGCAGTGGTGCTCCTCCCCCATATTTGCCACGTGAGCAGCAGGGCTGAAACCCACGTCGGCCGGCGGGCACAGGTCGGAAGGGACTTGGGCAGTGCCGAAACGATTCCGTCACAAGCCGTCCCGAAATCCAGGTTTTAAAAACTAAGACAAGGTTGTGCTTTTGGGGGGCATGGCCACATAGGAATTACGTGTGAAACCCTAACTGGAAACGCGGAAGGCAAGGCCCAGCTGATGGAACCAACGGACGACGTGCTGGAGTTCTGTGCGCTTGCTAAACTGCATTGCGTGTGGCCTGGACCGGGGACTCTCAGGTGAGCGTGTGGCCGCCCACTTAGGCAGCGTTTGGCTCTTGCGAAGGCTTCGGGGGACCTGGCGCCCCAAGCGAGAACACCTGAGCCCAGAGAAACACACGCAGCACTTCCTGCCGCAGAGGCATCTCGCGTGTCGGCCGCAGAGCAGGAGGAGAGATTCGGGGGCTGTGGCCCAGGCGCTCTAAAGATGAAAATGATGCTCACTGATGTGGGTGTGGGAAATGATGAGCTCTAGCCTTCGCCAGCCTGGTCCCCCACGCCCCCGGAGGGGTGGGGCTGCAATTCCATTCATCCCCAGTCTATGTGGCTGATGGGACATGCAGTCCGATTGAACTTAACAACACAAGGTTGGAGAAAGTCAGGGAATCTCCTTGAGGGCCTGCAGCATGCCCACCGATTTTTGTGCACCGATGTGGGTGGCGGAACCCCGAAGGTGTTTTTAAGAATGACAAAGAACGGTCCTTCTGAAGGGAGCGATTCAGGTGCCCTCTCCCATCGGCCGCTTCCCTGTTCTACGCAGCCGCCTCCAAAAGTCCGAGTTTGGACGCGCGAGAAGCAGATGTGGCTGCGCTGGGAAGACTTCAGCGCTGCATGCGCCACTCCCCCGCCATCTCCCACAACGGCTGCTGTGCCCACCACTGGGGCCGGCCCTCTCAGTGGGCAGGGTGAAGCCAGTGCCTCAGGCAGCAGAGACGGGGGGGGGGGGAGCAGGGCACTGTGGGAAACTGCCTCTCGCGTGCCTCCGGGTGCAGTGCAGGATCTGGGCCTGCAGTCCCACGCCGTGGGTCTTCCATGCCGCCCCGGAGATGCAGTGCATGCAGCCCAGCCTGTGACCCGCAGCTGACTAGCGCTGCACCCGCCCGGGCCGCCCCCCTCGCGCCCCGCCGCCGCCCTGCGAGCCCCGACCGCCATCTCAGAGCTGGGGAGGCGAAGCCCGGAGCACGGCCGGAGAGACCCGCGGAGCTTACTCATCGATCTTGTCGGGGAAGCCCCAGCACTGCTGCGGGTTGGTGTCTCCGTGGCCCGTGTGGATGAAGCTGTTCTTCAGCGGCTGGCTGATGTCGTGCGCCGAGAGCCCCGCCACCGAGGTCACCGTGTTCCGCGGGAACTGGCCCACCTTCAGCGTCCGCTTGTTCTGGCCCCGCCACCAGTAATTCTCAGCCCTGGGGGGGCGAGAAGAGGCCGCATCAGTACGGGAGTGGTCAGGGGTGTCCGGAGGCGCCGGGCAAGCAAAGGCCTGCGGCACCCGTGCCGTGGATGCCAGGCTCTGGCTCGGCTTGCCACGGGGCTGCTTCCATCGTTGAGGCTTCGGCGGCCTGCTGGAGAAATGCCAGCCGCAGCGGAAAGCTGCATGGACTGGGAAGGGGAGGCCAGCCCAGAGGGCTTGCACTGTGCCGGCTGTGTGTTCTGGGGGCCCAGAGACCACATCTTGCCTATGTCTGGGGACCCCAGGCCTCTTCCTCACCCTGGCCCCTACCCATCTGTCTGGCAGGCAGAGGGCCGACGAGCACAGGGACTACAGCATCTCTGCCTCCTCCTCCTCAGCCCCGTTGGCCGGGCAGAGAGCCAGGTCAAGCAGGGTGCAGAGCCGAAGCTCAAGGGCCTCTTGTCCAGGAGCCCCTGCTCAGCGACGGGACACTGGCAGGGGCCCAGCTGTGCCGACCCTCGGCTCTATAGGCCTGTGTTTTGATAGATGAGGCAGGGTGAGGCAAACAGCTGGGGGCTGATGGATGAGCTAGCTGGGAACGACAGCAGAAAAGGAGCATGGGAGATGCGGCTGGGGGGGGGGGGGGTGGGGGGGGGTTTCGTTGGGGGGGGGGGGGGGGGGGGCTGCTCGATGAACAGAAGGGGAAGGGTGCTCCAAGAGGCAACCTGGAAGACGACATGGCGAAGGACATGGAAAGAGCCAGAAAGGAGATGGAGGTGAATGAACTTGCCCTTGAAAATCTGGCAGAACTGCCCCCCCAGTGGGAACTGGACTGAGATGCAGGATTTTTGTTTCAGTGTGATTTTACTGGTATTTTCTGTTTGAGTGCTTCAAACTTGGGCTCCATCAGCAATCAGAACCTATGCGTTTCCATGCTCACAGATCCTGAAAAATGAGTTCCACAACACGTGTAAATTTGAAAAGTGTGAAAAAAATGCAGGAATGATGCACACGCTTGGAATAATACTCATGAACACAGGCATGGATTGTCACATGGAGGAAACAACCAGGCGGCTTGCAAACTGGCACGGCCTTGCGCCAGAGTGCGCTTTGAGCGAGTTTTGGAGAACTCGGCGCTCTCAGGTGACTGGCGCATCTCTGTGCAGGAAGAGCAGCTGCTTCTGCTGCCCGCCAATTCCTGGAACAGCCGCGAAGAGAAGGGCTCCTGGGAGCCACGTCCCTTTCGTTCCCCTAAACTCCAGACCTCATCGCTGCTGCCAAAGGAGCCCCCCAGAGGTCCTCTGGGCCAGCCTTTCCTGGCCTGGCGTCATTCTCCAAACATGCCAGGTTACAACTCCCATCACCCCCACCCACCATGGGCACTGGCCTGCAGTGCTGCACATCTGGTGCACACCCACATCTGGCTGGCACCCAGGGCAGGAAATCCTGTGGGAGAAAGACGCCTCTCCTGCAGCGGATGTGACCTCTTGGCTTGCCGTCGGCCGGATGCGCTCCGGCGCAACGCCACTCGGGTGGAAGGGGCTGCTCAGGATGGCCAGCGGTAGCCAAGCTCAGCCCGACGTGCCTGCTGGGGAGCCCTCGGCGGAGGGCGGGCAGACAGCAGAGCCCAGATGCTTGGGACTTCAACTCCCAGCATCCTGACCTTTGGCCCGGCTGGCTTTCGGAAGCTGCGGGCTGTCCACCTGAAGCCCACGTTCTGCAACTCACGGCTTGCGACCGACAGCTAGGCTGAGCCCAAAGTTGCAGCGGGCCAGTGCTGGCACCGCCCGTGTTCTCTCCTCTCTCTCGGGAAAAATGCGAGGAACAGAAGGGACGGAAGAGGAGACGACGCGTTTCAAGGGCGTCCGAAGATGCGTTTTGAGGCGGTTGCCAGTGCCAGCTGCAGACTCCCCCGATCCACCCCTTAATTGGCTTGGAAATCGGGGACGGCATTCAGACAGCCAAGTATCTTGCCGTCCGGACGGCTGCACGGGAGTCCTGGACCAAAGCACGTGCCTTAGGCTTGGTTCCAAACCCACTGTGTGTGATCCATTCGGACCGCTGCCCAGCGTGACGGGCGACTGTCCCGGCAGCCCACCGCGTGGACTGGGTGGGGGAGGGAGGGGGGGTGGCAGATAGGCAAAAGGATACACCTCAGCCACCCAGCACTGCCCGGGGGGCAGCTGCCTTGACCTATCCTGGATCGTGGGCAGCCCACTGCCGCATTAAGGAGGCCTGCCTCCTCGGATGCATCCTGGACGCGGGTGCGAGGAGGGGCAGAGAAGGGCCGCCCGCGCACCCTCCCCCAGACTGGGGGCTCCAGCGATGACACTGCTGAACCCGGTCCGCACCCACCAGCCTTTGGGGGGGCGTGAAGAGCCTGGCTTGGAAGGTGGTCCCAGTCCTCCTGGCGAGGCCCCCGGCTCTCGCCCGCCCGCCCCATGGCCCCACGCGGACGCAGCAGAGGGGTGGGGAGGCCGCAAGAGCTCCTGGCAGGGCGGTGAGCGACAGCCCTGGCCGGCAAGGCAAGGCGAGGCGAGGCCCACGTGCAGCGGGAGTGCCCCTCGGCCCCGCTCTGAGTCACGGCCAGCATGGCCGTGCAGGGGAGGGGAGGGGAGGGGAGGGGAGGGGGAAATTCCAGGGTGGCAGCCAGCCAAGCGAGAACCTGCGCACGCCACCCTTCCGCCCCGTGACACCTCGCTGGTTGTGAGGGCAGGCCCTCCATGCGCCCATCCTCAAAGGTGGAATTTCCCCCACGCGGGATCCCTGGGATCCAGCTGGAACTTCCCCCAACTCACTTGGCCAGACAGGTCCCCTTGCGGAGATGGGAACCCTGGCAGGTGCAGGGGTGGAGAACTGCCGGCTTGAGGGAGGCCACCCGCCAGCACGCAATCCAAGCTGCTAGTCCTTAATTTTTTTAAATGCTCCCCACCTTGCTGTTCCCAGCACTGCGCTTCCTCCCATCTCCCTCACAGCCTTCCTTGTCTCTCCCCTGCAAGCGCCTCACCTCTTCGCTCCCCTCCTTCCCTCCTTTCTCCATCTTCCCCAGCACAGTGTCCCTCCGAATGTTCTGGACCTCATCTCCCATCCGCCCCGGCCTCCCAAGGAAGCCTGAGGGCTGCAGTCCAAAGGGCCTTCCTCAGCTGCTGAGTTTCTCCCAGCTCCTCCAACTTGGCCTCAACACCCATGTTTTCAGCAAAGGAGTCTGCCACCTGCGCCATGAGCCGGATGCAAGGAGATGACCGTGGGAAAGCGCACCATCTTGCCAGCCCTGCTGGAAGGCTGTCTTTCTCCTCCTCCTTCCCCATTCCCCCTTCCTTGCCTACTGCGCGCCAACACTGTAAGCAGCATCTGTTCTGCTCTCGATTAGATGCAAGCTGCTCCAGGGGGATTTTTGGCCGAGCTGCAGGGTCCAAACAAACCAGCTGTGCTGGCCAGCTTGGCCTTTGTTTTGCAAAATCTCCCAGGAGTTCTAGGGGACCGCTCTGGAGGAAGCCAAGCCCGGTCAAGAGGACCCACCGGGCTGGCTTGCAAGGAGCCAGCAAACCGCTAGTCTTGGGTGCCTTCCAGGGGCCGCAGAACCAGCGGCTCCCCCTCGCTCGGAGGTCTGCAAGCGGGGCAGCCCGCACGCTCTGAGCCTGCACTGTGTGCTCACGTCATTTTGCCGCGAAATCTTGCCTCGCAGCCAGCCTGGGGAGGATTTGGAAGGGCAGGCCGTGAGCAAAGACCTCCCTGGCCGAGGCGGGGGCCCTCCGCCCAGGTCCACGTGGAGGTCACCGAGCTGTGCTTTCACAAGGGAGGCGGCGCTGGTTCCCTCTCTCTCCCCACACTGAGTAATGCGCTGGCACAGGAGGGAGCCTCCTCGAGAAGGTAAACAGGAAAAGGGCAGAGCCGGCCCATGCGAGTGACTCACACAGGAGCCAGCCTTCCTGGGGCTGCCGCTGGGGCCGCGGCGGCACTTGCGGGCTGAGGTGGAGCGGTAAACAGCACCCTCCCCGCCCACCCTGCAGGAAGGCACACGGTACCAAGGTTGCTCAAGCGATTCTGTCACCCAAGGCGAAAAACCCAGGCCTGCCTCTCCGCCCTCCTGGGAGGACAAGTACTAGAATGATGTTTGCCACCTTGTCTTCCCCATCCCGGTTTTAGGCTCCAGCACCTATCAGCCACGGCCACCGTGGGCCGTGGTCAGGAACCCTGGATGTTGCAATCGAAAGCAACTGGTAAAATGCTCTGAATGCGATTCGTGCAACAGAGACAGAAGTGCAAGGCGGGGGGTGATGGACTGGCTCACCCCCCCTCTACTCCCCAGATGAAGAAGCCACAGGGGCTTGCAAGAGCCTCCTCTGCTCCGTTTTATCTTCACAACAACCCTCCAAGGCAGGCCAGGCTGAGTGTCTGCGACGGGCCCAAAGCCACCCAGGCGCTGCATGGCCACGTGTGGGACGGGAACCTGATGCCCCGAGTCCCAGTCTGACGCTTCAGCCCCAGGCCACGCTGGGTGAGACGGATGCGCAGAAGGTGGAAGCTGCCCGCAAGGCTGGGCCGCCTCAACCGCAAGACACCTGGCCAACGCCCCCCCGCCCAGCAGGCACTCGTGATGATGCGCACACGTGAGTCGCTGCAGGTTGGCTGCCCCAGGGTCCCACCACACGGCCTCCTCGGCACGCGGGACTCGGAGCGCATGGGCCAGCCCACCCTGCAGCATCGGGAGGACCTCCAGGGTCACACAGTCACATCCCGGCCAGGCAGGACCTTTGCGAAGCTCATCTCACAGACCTGCCTTCATCCCTTCCATGAGTTGTCAAGGCAACCTTCACCGTCTCTGTTTCAACCTCCGCTCTTTCTCCCAGCTTTCCTAAAAAACGGCTCACGCCATCTCTTCCGGGGCTGATCCAGGGCCCACCCAAAAAGCCAGTGTGTCTGCGCTTGCCTCTTTCACATCAACCGCGCGCCCTCCGGTCCTTGATGGCGTCAAGGAGCAGCACAGGGAAAGGGCAGGACAGAAAACGTGGAAGT